CACTAGTAGTGAGCAAATGGATTCACAGAATCGCTTTTTATTGAGTGACTAATATTCCAATTTTGTCCATCACAAGCAACGGACAGCCGTTCCAAGAGTGCCAAAGGTATTTATGACACTGGTTTGGCGTGAAGCTGTTTTGATTGCATTACTATTTTACTTACTGACCTGTAGCAGAGATTGCTAGTTGTCCCCAAGCATATTAGGCAGGATAGGCTGGGTTATGTTGCAGTAACAAGTTAACTTTAAATGAATTTCAATGGTTCAACACATTTCTTGTTGCACGTAGATGGGCAGAGGCTCGATTCCACACAGTCTCTCAGGGACTTAGGGCAAGGGAGGCTCCAGAGTCTTGCAGTTGCATCATCTGGAACCTGTGGCGTTCTTGGCTGCTGTGGCAGGGAAAAGCTACTGGAGACTGTAGTTTTTTCCCATGTCACTTCCCCTCATAGCCAACTGGCTAGAACTAGTCGTGTGGTCTCACTAGTTCAGTCTTCCAGTGCCCAGAAGGAGAGGAGAACCAGATCTTGGTAAACACACAAGTATCTGTCATACCCTGTATCTGTTCTTCCCTTCTTCAATAGCAATGGAATCCCTGGCTGTTAGCTGGCTACATGACTTCCCCTCACCTCAAAAGATTACATTTCTAACTCTAAGTGTCTCAGCTGTGATCATGGGATGTTAGTTAAGGTGAGGTCACAACTTGCTGTAAGTGTCCTTAAGGAGAGAAGTGTACCCTTTTTCTCTTTCTCCATCCTTCCTGCTGGCTAGTATGCAGACATATGGCTGGGCTCCAGCAGCTCCCCTGGATTTGAAAGTGACCTTGGGAATGGAAACCAAGCATGAACAGCTACCTGGAAGGAACTTTGGTTCCTGACCTCTTGGGGAGCAACCAACTCTGAACTCTCTCCAGACTTCCTATATGTAAGAGAGAAATAAATTTCCTATCTTGTTTAAGCCACAATTATTCTTTTTCTATTACTTACAGCTGAATTTAATCCATACTCATATGGGGCCCCAATGCAAAGTCTGTTAATGACTTCTGTTTCCAGTAAGTAATATCCCTCTTGTCCTTCCATGTTCAGAATCAACCAATAGACATAGAAGTCTGAAACAGAGGTCAAAATCTCCCTGCTGTTTCTAATAAAGCTGATTGGAGATGTGGCCTTAGATCGGTGGACAAAAGGGCTTGTTAACACTTCACTCCTGAACTGGGCAGATTAGCTGCCACTGTAACTGACATAACTTTGGTTTTGCAACCTCAACACTATTGACACTTTGGACTGGATAACCGTTGTGTGGGTTCATCTTGTGATCATGTTTAGCAGCGTCTCCATCCTTCATCCCTAGATGCTGGTAGCACTCCAGTCACAATGAGCAAAATTGTCTCCAGACATTGCCAAATGTCCCCTGGAGAACAAAATATCCCCCAGTCGAGAACAATGGGCATAACTGACCAACCGCAGAGCCCCCTCTTGGGAGTGTATTTCCATAGCAGGAAATCCCCAAAGACGGGAAACCCAGAAGGGACTGAACCTTTAGCGTCCAGTTCCTTTTTCCGAACGCACAGACGCCACCCCCTTTTCTTTTCAAGAGGTGAATGAGGGAAAGGGAGAGGCCAAGAGCGATACTCTCACCAACATTTCTCTACAGGGGAACCCCAGTTCTTGTGAAAACGCTCCTCTTTTGTTCCAGTGAGTCACTTTTCCCTACAGCCTATAATTTCACAAACATTAACTAAAAATGTGAATGTCTGGTTGGGTCCAACTACTTGTACTGGAAGTGAAGAATGCGCACTAGAAAGCCTCAAAGAGCAAGATTTAAGCCATTGGGGTCAAGCTACATTTTCTTTTTTTACAGTAGCTGGCCACTGCATTAGGTCCATTTGTTTATCCTCAGAGTCGCCGTGGGTGTTGGGAGAAAGAGAGTATATTGCTTGTGAGTGTGTGTGTGTGTGTGCGTGCACGCGCGCGCACGCACCTCCTGAGACCAAGACCTACGAACCCTTCAGCTCTCTCAAGAGGAGGAGGATTGCCCCATACTTACCAGCCCTTGGGTGTATTATAAGCTTGTATAACAGTTCTCAAACTTTCTGGTCTCAGGATCTCTTTAAACTCTAAAAAATTGCAGACCCCCAAAAGCTTTTGTTCACATGTATTCCATCAACTGGTATTTAAGGTACTGCAAATGAAAACAAAATTATATTTATTAATTCATCGAAAAATAATAAACATTACATGTTAAATAATGTATTTTGATGAAAAATAACTACATTTTCTAAGACAAAAACAATTAGCAAGGAAGGGCATTATTTTGCATTTTCACAAATGTCTTTAATGTCTGGTGGAATAGAAGACACATGAATTTTCGTTATCCGCTTCTGCATTCTTTCTGTTGTGATATGTTCTTTTTGTTTAAGTATGTAAAAATCCCGCCTCGGTTGGCACATGGAAGGTTTTAGTAGTCTTTCCATATTCTGGAGGACATCCCTCCCTGATGCTACATCAAAACTTGACAAGCGGTAGTTTCTTTAAGGTCAGCTGCAGCCCTGTGCCCCCGGGAACCTCGCCTTGGAGACCTCTGGTCTGGGGCCTCTCCTCTGACCCCGAGGACGCCCACCGCCCAGGCCACACTCTTTTCCTCACTTCTCCCATTGCCACTTCTTCACATCTTGTCCCCCTTTTTTCTTTCCCTCTCCTGTCACCTGTTTTTCGCTTTCTCTACCTTCTCTCAGCAGATGTCCTCTTGCTGCGGAGCCCCCACCTACCGTCCTCCAAAGGACAGGCTGAAAGCCCCAAACATCGTCCCTTCCCCACTCGACTACAGCAGCAATGGGGCCTAAGGCCGACAAGGTGCCAGGTCTGTCTTCAGTGGTCAGAGAAGCTACAAGAGCAGAAGATAAAGCCAGAAGGCACTACCTTCATCTCAGCTGACACCTGGCAGGGCTGGGCAGGGCCGCTGGAGCGTGGGCTAAGCCAATCGTTGATGGAATTCAAGAGCCAATTACACTGAATTACTTTTATTTTGATTTTCATTTTTAATTGTTAAATAATCAAGTGGCAGATTCCTGAGATTGTGAGACACAACTTAACACTCACATACGAAAGAGAAAGCCCCTCAAGGCTTCATTGGCACCATCATTCACTTGTTGACCTTGGGCATCCAACTCCATGCCAGTGTCCCTGGGGCCAAAATGGGTCAAAAGGGAGGGACGAAAAGGGTCATAACTCTCTCAAGTTTAAAGGCTCCCTCTGGACAACAGCGCAAAAGTGTTCATCTTTTGCTGAGGTGAGGGACAATTAGATGTGCTGTAACTTTTCACAAAATGCAAAATAAACAGAATAATATTTTTTCAGTGCAAATTCAGTCTGTTGTTTTGTGTTTTTGAAAAGTCAGGGTTTTTTTTTGTTTTTATATTCTTGGGAGTTGGCTTGAACGTAGTCAAGTCACTTATCAACCAGCAAAGACTTACCGAGCACTACACAAATATGGGAAATACACACGTTAGATATGGTCCCTACACTTCGACAGCAGGTAATGCCAGTTGGGAAAACCCAGCAACTGAAGAGGATAAATGATGGCTACCAAGTGCTGTGCCCAAGTTGTATGCGGGATGGGAGTTAGGTGGAGGGAAGGTGTGAGCCAGGTGCAGAATCTGAAACACAGAGAAGAGGAAGATGATTCCAGGAAGGAGGATAAGAGCAAAGGCTGAAAGCTGGGAAAGTGCAATGTGCATCGCAGGCACAGTGAGAAGACCCGTCTGGTTTGGGCTGAAGACCTGCAAGGCAAGTAGCAAGACCAGGCCGAGAGCGAGGCTGAGGCTGGCCCGCAGGCCTTCCACAGCAGGAGTCTGGACCCCGCCTGCAGGACACGTGGGGCCACTCACGGTTTCTGAAGGAAAGCAGCAGACGTGACCGTCAGCAGTAGTGCACGTATGGAGAGAGGAGGCAGTGGGGTGCGACGGAGCGAGGACGCGCTCGGAAATGAGCGCATGGGACGCTTCGTCTGGCGCTTTTAAAAAGAAGAGACCAAACACCGGAAGATGGACTGACTCGAGAGAGACTTCATTTATATAACACATCTACAATTTACAAAGGATTTTGCTTACATGATCTCGTTTTATCTTCAGAACAATTTGTAAAGTAGAACATTGTCACATTTCACAAGGAACTGCTGCTCAGAAATGATGCTATCGCCTTTGGCAAAGCCTTTTTGTTGGTTTTTGGGACACTCCCTTCTCTAGGTTTTTTTTCCCTCTTATTCCTTTTCAGGAAAGGCTTTTTCTTCTGTATGTCCCCTTAAATATAGATTAAATGTAGATGCTCCTGGGCCTCTCTTCTCCTGCTCTGCTCATTAGATAACCTCACCTGTTCTCAGGGTTTAAAGCATTACATATACACCGACAACTGCCAAATCTGCTACAGAGTTCAGATCTTTCTTCTGAACACCTGACCTACATATACAGTTACCCATCTAAATTTCTTCTATCAAGCATGTCCAAAATGTAACTGATTTTCGCCCTACACTTGCTGTTTCTCCTGTATTCCCTGTTCTGTCACACCATTATCACTGACCAGGCGAATGGCCCCTGTGGCTTTTCTTTGGCTAATTTCAAATAACTTTATATATAAAACAGAGGGAGTAAAGGGGAAGCCTTGAGGCTGACCATTCAGAGAGGAGCACTGTCAGCAGTCCCTGGGCATAGAGAAATAAGCCAGCAGGGACTGCGGCGGGAGGAGCAGGCACTCCACAGAAGGAAGGGACTGGTGACAGCCACTGGAGCTCAGAGGTATGTGCGTGCTGAACACTCAGCAGTGTTTTTAATACTTTGATTTCAGATACCTAGTTTAAATCCTTCTATACATGATCTGAATTTTAAGTTGCTTCAAATCTTTCTTTAAAAGCAAAGAGGTTTAAAATATGAATTCAAGTGGTACAAGAATCTTGTATGATAGACAAGGCAGGTATTATTAGTCTAATTTTACAATTCACTCACCCACTCACTGATTTGTTTAAACATTTATTAAGCACTTTTTCTGGGCCAGGCACGGTGCAAGGTGCTGGGATATAACAATGATTATGACAAGGTCCCTCAAGGAGCTCACAGTCTAATGGTAAACTACAGAGTAAACTGAGGCACAGAGTGGTAAATGACTTACCCAATGAGGTAGAAATAGCTAGGTATGTGGAAATGTGGGACTAGAGCTGGAGAGAGGGCAGGGTACAACTTGTGGTAAGTAAAACCCCTCTGATTGAAGAGCAAGGCTGCGTACAGAAACATTACAAAAATCTGCTTGCAAAAACCTTAAAATAGTTCCCAATTTTCACCATGATTGAACTCATGTCTGACAATGAAAACACTATTATCTGATGGCATTTCTAGACTTGCCCCCGGAGCCTTGGGGCATGCCACCAATCTGCTGGGACATACAACTCCGTAGACAGCTTGAAATCAAGATGCATCCAATACCGATTTCGGCATGGGGAATCATATTAAAACACTTTAATTAACTCCATGAACGTAAATGTATAGCACATTTATGATACTTCTACATGTAGAAGTTTGGAAAAACTCTCCTCTAACCCTCATCCAGAGGATTCTAATAAGTTACAGATACCAAGGAAATTAGAGAATTTGTTACTTTCCATATATACATTATTTTGGCTGTACAAGGGTGAAAAATGTCACTTAGACATATTTCATAAGTACTCTAAACATTATACAGATATATACACAAAGACATCACATTTAGATTTGTGTGTACACCTACCCAATGTACAACAGCTAACTGCAAACATGACCAGTGTAAGGCAATTTCTTTTGTGATATACAATACAATCCTTGAAGCAAAGGGTAGCGTCCGCAAAGAACATCTATCTCAGGCCTGACCATCTGTTTTCATAACACTCTTTGTGATGAAGTTATTTCAGGTGTCAAGATGTCTATTTCGCTGACAAAAAGCAGTGAATAATTATAAAAAGTTGTTTTCAAATGTGGAAACCATAATTATCTAAGTAGTGAACTACTCAAAGACACTACCGGCATTAATGCTGCTGCTAACGAGGAGAGCACTGCAGGGATGAGTTATTGCTCTGAGAATCAGACTGATGCAACATCCATCCTCCCATGTAGGATGTTCCCCAAAAAACTCAATACATGAATTCTTAAATGCTGCTATCAGTTGCTCACTTCAAGCAATTCTTCACTTTGCTGAGGATTTTCTTCTGAAAAAGAACACGAGAGAGAAATTCTCCTAAGTGAAGGACTGAAAGGCAGACGGGTAACAGAACATACAATCCAACTACTTAAAAAAAAAAGTGAAGATCCCTCGTCAAGCTCATGTTAATAGCATAAGGCTAATTTTTTCAGTCTCACAAGAACAAACAGGAACTCAAACTTGTACCTAAAAGCCCCTGTTAGAGAATGTAGAAACCTGTCCCTTATTAGGGCTTTACTGGTTTCCTTTGGAGATGTCATGATTCCCTGATTATTCATTATCCTTGTGTTGCTATCTGTGCATTTGAGGAGACAGCCTCCACTTCTGGTCTTTACAAGTGTTCGCTGCCAGGGATAGAGCTTCCCTATTCAGACTAGCCTGGGATTTTGGAAGGACCAGCTGGTGACCACCCTAGGCAGGCAGACCTTTCTGTGAGCTCCCTAGTTGGCTGGGCCACTGCCTTTGCTCTGATGTCGGTGGGGCTGCTGGCTGGGTTCCGCTGTCTTGTGAGATCACTGCCTGGGCTTCACCGTCCAGTGAGACTACTGCCTGGGCTCTGCTGTCTGGTGGGGTTGCTGGCTGGGTACCACAGCGGCTTCTGCTCAGGCCGGTCACAGGATGTATTCCCCGGCCACACAATTCCACTATTTGGGATCTGCAGTTGGACAAGGCTGCAGGCGGACTCCAAGGTTAGATGGAGCCACTACTCTGGCCAGGCGGGACCAGAGGCTACGCGCCTTAGAAAGGCAAAACTGAGGATTCCTCTTAGTCCTGCAGGAGCCGTAGGGTGGGCTCTTGGCTGAGTGGCTGTTTGACTCCTGGATCAAGTAGGTCTAGCATCTTCCCTTCTCCAAGATGTGCGGTGGTGGGAGTCTCCTGATAGGCAAGGTCACTGGCAGGATTTTGGTGAGTGGAGCTGCTGCTTGACCGAAAGCCTCCCTATTCAGAGCCCGCCGCCAGTGGTACCACCATGGGACCAGACAGAACTAAGACAGAACTAAGTTTAACTATAAAGTCTGTAGAAATATCTAAACTCCAGTAAGAATTACCTTGTAATTCTTGGTTTTTTTTCCTCATGTTTTTGTGGATAAGAAGAGTACAAGTATCTTACGGCCACAATACACATCCATAAAATTATATATACTTAAAATATCATTAGAATCTTAAATTTCCTAATCACAAAGTTGGTATGTTTACCTTCCTCAGGGCGTTCTGGATGTCTGCTCTCAGATGAAGAGATGACACCTTCAGACCTTTTGTGACCCGCGTGACCCTGCTCCACTTCACACAAGTAGACATCGATGGGTCCTTTGGTGCTCCTTATGTGCACTGTGATGGAATCCTGGCAAAGGACACATGAGCCATCAGGATGAATGAAGAATTCATGAAGCATACTTTTCACTCACTAGAACTGTGAAAATTTCAAAGCGCCTTTCTGAAAATTAAATTCTGGTAGTTTCCTTTCTATCATACATTTGAGAAAATCACCTTCTTAGCTGTAGTCACATTAAACCACTGCACAATTCACACAGTTAAGACAGCTGCATGATCCTGCAGTAACAGGGTCACAGCCATCAAGTGGATACCTGTCCACACTCAAGGGCCTGGTTTCCCTGCTCAAGAAGTCGACCCCTTGAAGGAGGCCACACTTGAGAGTTAAAAATCAGTGTTTTGATAACAAAGAACTCTAGACTACCCTATAGTTGCATAGGATAAGGGTGTGTTTGGATTTCCAGACCAATGAAGAGGTATCGAGATAACTGGAAGGGCCATTCATCTGTCCAGGTGAAAGAACTAAGAGGAAAAGATCAAGCCAAAACATGCCTTATGTAATTTAAAACATTAAAAAAAATGAGAATCATAACAAAGGACTATTATTAACTCCTCATGATTTTCACATCCTTTGGCTTATATTTATTTAATCAGGATTTAATTAAAATACTTTTTCCAAAAGGTATCAGGAAATTGAGTGCTTATACTGAGAATTAAGCTAAATTCTTAAGAAATAGTTATAGTTATGATTCCTTTGTTTTGTTAACAGGAAGCTGGTTCAACTGTATGTATCAAACTCTACTCTCTCCCCTTTTACATGGTTAGACCTGGGCTGGACACTACAGACACCACCGCTCCCTCCTGCTCCACATCTCACTGTGCTCTTATAATAGAGCGAGTTCAGTGAGATGCAGCATCTCAGAGGGTCTCAGAACCTCATTTGTCATCCTTGCTATGGCTTCCTGGTTCCACACAGGTGGGCTAGAGAGCATCTGTGCTCAGCTTCTAGAGTGCCAGGTCAGGTCTGGTTTGAACAGTAAACCTTGTGCAATTTAATAGATATTTGGAAACAATAAAAGAAACCAGTATGTTGCTCTGAACTGGCAGCCAGCTGAGGACTTCACATTCCACTAACTCAGGGATCGGCAAACATCTTCTGTAAAGGGTAGGACAGTAAATATTTTTGGCTTTGCAGGCCATACCATCCCTATCACAACCTCTTAAACTCTGCTAATGTAGTGTGAGAGCAGCCAGAGACAGTATCTAAACAAATGGACATGTGGTTGTCTCCCAGTAAAATTATTTACAAAAAGAGCAGGGGGGATTTGACCTAAAGGCCAGTTTGCCAGCTGTCACACCAGGTCCGCAGCTGTCTCCCCAGATCTTTGTGGAGTCAGACTCTACTGAAGCCAGCACGCACACATATCTATTGCTGAGAATGGCTTGTGCGCAGACTTTAAATGGGACACTAAGAGAAGCCTTGAGCATGATTAAAGGCTCAGCCAAGATTTAACAATTACAGTCTGATGCAGCTGATAGCATAGGGAAAAAAACCAAAAAACCATCAGTTGCTGCAGAATGGATTATCATGCCCCGTAGTAAGCATGTGTTGAAGGACTAGCGGCTACTTATTTAAAAATAAGATCCGTGAAACAACTCATATTAAATAAAAACGTTACTTGGATACTTGGAAGGCACCTAAATCCAAATAAAACAACTAGGAAACATCACCAAGAGGTCACAATTTGAGTGTGACAGAGACAAAAGAAAGCTCTTCCTAACTAGATACACTGTCAAGTGTCATGGGGCCTCACTTGGACAGAGGTCTGCTGGGGATAAGAGGAAAGGTCGATGGCGGGAACGCTCTTCACTCGGAGGGGGGCAAATCCCTAGAGCAATGAAGAGGACCTCACTACGAGCACCGATGGCTCTACCAGGCAGTCAGACTCGATGATTTGTCCCAAGAATGGTCACATTCCTTGGTTCTGACTCCATCCTTATCAAGCAACCTTCTGATGACAATTATCTTTCAATACAAACTTTCCTGCAAGGGAAAGAATGTGCTAAGCAACTAGCAGCTGTTAAGAATATTTTCATTTACACAGAAATTTTACTTTTCATTTTAGATTCATAACATAGTGTTCTAGTTTATTCATTAGTCCTTTATGAGTTTGTTAGTAAGTTAATTCCCCAGAGCCTTGGCTGAGATCAGATCTTACTTTTCAAAACAGGCCAATTCTTGGTGATTCCTCTAAGAAGCATTACAGCATACTGGTTAAAAACAAACTTAGAGCACAAACTACCTGGGTTTGAATTCTGGTTCTCTCACTTACTGTGTGATCTTGAGAAAGTTAATTCGTCTTTCTGTGCTCTGGGTTCCCCATCTTTAAGATGATGATAATGATGTCTACTTGATTTGCTGTGTCACTCGAAACATGTTAAAATGTGCAAAGTGCCTTGAATAGTATCAGATACACAGCTAACAGGTACATAACGGCCATTTCGTTACCATGACTGTGACGAGCACAGCCTCAGCAGTTGGGCCACCTCCCTCTTCAAATCTGTTTTAAAATGCAGGGGTACCTACCTCTCTGGGAGCAGGAACATCCAGTCTGGTTTCTTCTGGAGCTTTAACTGCGATAACAATTTGTTCATGGAAGGCTTGAATGCTATGAATATCTTGATATGTTACATATGCTAGTGTAAAAATCAGTCAAGGATCTCCAAGCAGAGTGCTATTTATTAGGGAGAAAATTTACCTCTTATAACTCATTAATGAAAGTGTAATGTTAGAGTATCTTTAGTTTTTATGGGATACAAATTCACAAGGAAAGCAGTAAAAATATATTTCACTGGTAAGTTGCATTA